ACACACACACACGCACGCACGCACGCACGCACGCACGCACACACACACACGCACAGACACATACACACACAGAGAATGGCAAGCATCCGCACCCAAAGTGTCGCCCAGTCCAGATCAGCGTCGGCCGTCACCAGGAGCACTAGGCCGTCCAACAGCACTGCACACCCAAGTCCTCTGCCATGCGCCGCACCCCAATTTGCAGCAAACAACGAACAGAGATCAGCACGTGACGCTGAGGTGTTGCATGTGCACAGAATCCAGCAACCAACGAGTCTGTCTTGGCGTTCGAAAGGGGCCATTGTTGAGCCCCAAAACAACGCGGCACGGCTGTCAACCAGTCGAATTTCAGATACTGTATGCAGAGCCACTAGTGTTTTTTTACGCGCGCTGCAAAATGAGATTGGACGGCGCTCGGTCGCTCGTCGGCTTGGGGCGACGGAAGCTGGGGGAGGGCGGGGCGGGGGGGGGTGAGGTCAAGCAGCGGCATTGGTCCCATGGAGATATGCAGTGTTTGTGTGTGCGCATATGTGTAAACTTACCGATGTCGCCCCTCCTTTGGACCACGTGATAAGACTGCAATACTTAGCTCTAATCGATACGTCACAATCCGTGCGCTGCCGCCACGAGCGCTAGATCGCACTGGCCCTTCGCACATATTTTGTGTGACCTGTGTACCGAAAGATGTTAAGTAAACTTAACTTATTGCTGCGACCGCTGCCCGGCGCCAGCGCATCGCAAGGGCCCCCAGGCAGCAGTGCAGCAGCAGCTGCGGTGGTGGCGCCAGCACACAGTGTCTCGCATGCGCAAAGACTGAGCGCACGCGAATTGTTTGGATTGCATCATGCACTTTCTCACACTCTAAGGCCATGCCAGACGCCCCATACCGCCGTACGGCGGGCGGGAGTGGCAGCCGGCGCATGCCGCCGCGATGGACAGCAGGAACAGCCTCAGCAGGCCGGGCAACAGCAGCAGCAGCAGCAGCAGCAGCAGCAGCAGGAGGAGCAGCAGGAGCAGGAGGCAGACAGTGACCAAGAGGAGGGCGAAGGCGAGTGGGAGGATGAGTACGAAGACGAGTGGGAGGAGTACGAGGAGGGAGTCGAGGGGGAAGTGGCCGAGGAGGAGGAGGAGGAGGAGGAGCCGTCGAGCCGCAGCAACGCCATTCCCGCCGACGCGACCTCTACCCCTTACGTCGAGGTGCGGGCCGGCGGCCGCTGCCGCGGCCCCCAGCGCTGCTGCGACACCGATGTTTGCCAGCGTCTGGCGTGGTTGCAAGGAGCCGCGACTTCACTTAGCGTGTCCGCGCACACTCAGAAGCATGGCATTGTATGCACTGCAGTGGCAGCTGACATCGTACCCCGCTAAATCTGTCCGAGCAACAGGGCCAGTTTGTCGAGGTGGGCCTCATTACTAAGGCCTTTGGCATCAGGGGCGAGGTCAAGGTCAACCCCTCAACCGACGAGCCGCGCAAGCGCTTTGCCAAGGGCAAGCGGTAAGTGGGCGAGCACAGCAGCGGGAGAAGGGGCCGGCCTGCAGGCGTGGAGCAACAGCAGAGGGCAGCTGAGGTTGGCGCCAGCTCGTTCTTTGGGGCAGGCAGCGGTGCAAACGGGTGGTGCTGTGTGTGTGTGTGTTTGTGTGTGTGTGTGTGTGTGTGTGTGTGTGTGTATGTGTATGTGTTTTTCGGCTTTCAACTGACTAACATGACACCTTGCCCGGCATTTTTTGACTGCCCTCCACGAATTGCAGCCTCTGGCTGCAGCCGCCCCCAGCCCGCGGCATGCTGTCGCGCGGCGCACCCCAGCCGCCGCTGCAGCGCGTCGTGGTGGAGTCCTCGCGCGTCGTGAAGCCGGAGATGAAGGGGCGCCCAGGATCTGAGATCTGGGGCATCAAGCTGAGGGAGGTGCCCAGCCGCGACGCCGCCGAGGCGCTGGCGCAGCAGAAGCTGCTGCTGGCGCTGTGTGATAGGGAGAAGCTGCGCAAGGGGGATGAGTATTTTATCCAGGACCTGGTGGGGCTGAAGGTGAGGGGTAATCTGGGGGGGGGGGCGGGTGAGGGTGACGCCCAGGCGTGCATGAACCGTGGTGCCGCACGCACCCGAGTGAACGCCAGCGTATAGTGCGGAGACTAAGCCTGGCTGTGAAGGACCACATGTCGCTATTTGCAATCAACAATCAAATAGACATGCAATATTGTGTCACCTGCCGCGGATGCATCATAATCTGTCCAGGTGTACGAGCACTCCAGTGGCCGCCTGCTGGGGCTGGTGACGGAGGTGTATGATGGAACAGGCACCTTCAGCACGCTGCGCGTCAGGCTGGCACCCAGCAGGTGGGGTGGGGTGTGTCAGCCGCAAGCCGTAGCCTCGTCCTCCCCTCCCTCGCCGCGGCTTTGTGTGCTTCTGCTTTGCATGTTGTGCACCCAACACCTGTAAGCACGGTGCTGTCCTCCAAGCGAGCGCCCGCGGGCCCTTGGCCTTTTAATAGCACCCTCTCATCCTGCACCCCACCCCACGCTCTTCCTCTGTCAGGGAGGACATCGCCGCGAGCGTCATGCGGACCACGCTGCTGCCTTTCGCCGCCGAAGTGGTGCCGGAGGTGGATGTGGATGCCGGTCGCATGGAGGTGGGTGCACAGCGGCTCGGACTGGCAGCGGCGCGTGCGACATTTGGGCCAAGCGGCGCGTCATAAGGGTTTGTAGCCAGCGCCAGAGAGCTGATGGCGATTGCGTGATGCAATCAGGGCTGGCAGGCACGCTGCAGCCTGCCGTCCAGCTGGGGTGCTAGGGCCGGCAGCCATGGCTCGCCTGCACCTCAGAAACACTTGCTCGCCGGCCCAAGGACCCCAGGCGCAAACCATGGAGCATCACCTCGTGAGGGTCGTCACCCGTCCTCACCCACAGGATTTCCCATTTTCAACCACAAAGCACCACCCTCCTCTCCAAACCCAGGTGGACCCGCCTGAAGGCCTGCTGGACCTGGTGAGCAAGAAGAAGCTGCGGAAGCCATACACACCCGAGCAGGCGGCGCGCCTGCTGACGCAGATAGAGGAGGAAGAGAGGCGGGTGGCCGCCGTTGCCGCGGCGAAGGCGGCTGCGGCGCCGACTGAGGAGCGGCGGCAGGGAGACAGCAGCGGCGATGCTGCTGAGCAGCAATAGGCTGGTGTTGTTGAGGCCATGTTGTAATCGACCCTTTTGGCTGCTCTTTCTCAGGCCACAGCGCAGTTTTTTGCACCAGGATGGGAACGGCCGCCCTAAACCAAGTGATGAATCAGTCTCCCTGTATTTGGACGGGTTTCTTGGACAGCCGCAGCCAAGTCTTGGAGTGCGGGGATGAATGCGGACAACGTGCCTCGAGCGTTCCCTGTATCACCACTTGATTTGCAGACCGTGCACGTCAAACCTCGGAGCAGCGCCCTGCACAAGCCTGTCAGCGCACCCAATCCTCGGCGTCGCCCGTGGCGAATTAGCTGGCCGACGCCATGCTGCAGCAGAGCCGCCAGCTCGATGCCGGCAAGACTGCACACATGTATAATGGGTTTTGGTCGGCGCTGTGTGCATTCCTGGAGCTCCCACGCAGCCATGTGGGTCTGCACCGTGTCCACAGCTGGCGGCTCGTGGCGGGGTGCGGGGGAATGCAGCCAGCCGCGCGTGCTGCCGACCCGGCACGTGCGAAGAGGCTGCCCACACATGTGCGCAACCGCTCCAACAAGTCCATCCTTGTGCCTGCCTGATTCTTCTTTACACAGTGCAACACAAAGAAAGCAAGCCCCAGCGGAGTCGGAGCTACTTGGGATAATGCCTACACCCGCCGCCTGAATGCTATTCAAGGTGGCATGGCCGCTGCATTTCGCTACCCGTCTGGCGTGGGGCAGTGCACGTTCAATGGGAGGTGGCAGGCGTGCCGGCTTGCGGAAGCATGTCGCACTGCATTTGCCAGTGTGCACAGTAGACACCATGCCGAGGGTCGTGGATTGCGGCATGACGGCGTCAAAAAAGCGGAGGGGGGGGAGTACATGGTGAAGTGCGAAAGAAAGTGGAGTCAGCTGCGTGGTGCGGTGCTGCGACCGTTGCAGGGCTGCATCTGATCAATTGCGACGCCAGCGACGTCTATCTGCGAGTGCGAAATGATTGCAGATGCAAGGGGTTTGCAGGAAGGCCGGGCGCGCGCGCCAAGCGCCCTGTACATGGGCCGCTGTACGCACGCACAGGCGCAATTGGGTTGCAGGGTTTTGCAGTTGGCCCAGGGGTATGCAGCCTGCAAGTGCAACAGTGTAGAGTACAACAGGATTCAAAAGCAAGATTAGGACCACAGCGGTGCGACTGGCGCCCGCATTCTGCAAGGTTTCCGACCGCAACACCTGTGAACAAGATACACACACATCTATACAGTACCGCAGGCCCCTAATGCGCAATCGCATGGGGGACGTCTCCTTCACCGGCAACTCGGGGGGCGCTCGTGGCGGGGGCACTTGCTGCGTCCACCACAGGCATCATGGGTCAGCGCCCCATCAACGCCCCACACGCGGCCATGGCTGTACGGAAGGCACCGGGCGTGCCTGAGCGTGCGTGCACTCAGTGGTGCATGCGTGCGCCCGCCGCGCCTGGGCGCCTCTCAAACGCCGCACCCTGGAAGCCGCACGGCGCCGCAGCCGCGGCTGCCGCAATGCCGTCCGCGGAAGCCAGCGCGGGTCCAAACGGCAGCGGCGTCAGCGAAACAGCCGGCGGCCCGCCGCCGCAAGGGAAGCTGTCGTGGCTGCTGGCCGCCCCTGGCGGCAGCTGTCCGCCCAGTTGGTTGAAAGCGGACGCTGGCCACGTGTCGCCAAGGCGAGTGCCGCCAAACAAGCTGCCCGATGCAAGCGCGTCCCCTCCGAGTGGCGGGGCGGCAGCACAACCGCTAATACATGGGACCCACGTTGCCCGTCCAGACTGCTGCTGCTGCTGCTGCTGCTGCTGCTGCTGCTCCTGCTGCTCCTGCTGATTGTTGAATCGCCAGTCTGTCTGTACCGTCGCCGCAAATGGGAGGGCCACCAGGACCGGGCCGGCCCCTGAGCTGTTGCCAGCACCGCCGGCTTCCAGCAGCACGTCGGGGATGCGGCTGGGCGACGCAGCCGCCCCTGCAAAGGGTCCAGCCAACACTGGATGCCGCACCTGCGGCGCCTGCACGCCGCCGGCCGCAGCCGCCGATGCCGCCGCCGCCGCCGCGGCCGCTGCGGCGGTTGAGAGGCAGGGCGCGAGCGGTGCGAGGGCTGGGGGGGCGCAGCTTGTGGAGGAGGCGTCGCTGCTGGTGGGGCCCGTGCTGCGGGGATTGGCGCGGCTGCTCGTGGACCCCTGCTGCTGCTGCTGCTGCTGCTGCTGCTGCTGCTGCTGCTGCTGCTGGTAGTTCTGAGAGTACGCACCGCTGCCCCACGACTTCCTGGCCGCACACTGTCTCCCAAGGCGGCCGGCCGCCGCGCCACCAGGGCTCGCGCCGCCGCCTGGCGCAGCCTGCTTCCTAGGAGAGGCTCCGCAGGCAGAAGGGTTGGCGGCCTGGCTGCCGCCGTCCCGCTCCTGGGGCCCGACCACCACACAGCCACGCCGTGCCGCGGCTGCGGCGGCCTGCTGCTGCGCCGCAGGGCTGCCGTATGCAGGAGCGCCGCCCCCGCC